CCTTTAGAATGAGAATTATTCCATAGTTTTGTTCTTTCTAAAAGATTTTCGCTGTGGTGATAGATTTCAGTTTTCTTTTCACTTTATTGGTGAGGATTTTCCCCCTTTAATTGTTGTCAAACTGATAAGATTTTTTTTGATGTTTCACAATTTAATTTGTTACTTTTAACTCCATTCCAATGTATTGTCACCTTAGTGCAGTAATGGGGTAACTCTTTATATATCTTAAGCTAAAATTAGCTTTTGATTGTTACTGTATTAACCTGCATAATGTAGAAATTTACTTTTTGATCAGGTGTTGTATATTATTATTATTATTTAACATACAATATTAGTAATTTAATTTTTGTTATTTGAGATATGATAAACTGATTGACTTTTGTACATCTTAATTTTTTTTTGAGAGACACAGAAAACTTATTTCTTTATTAAATTATAAGGGACACTTAAAATCACTTTAAGTGATAAACTAATATGTGAAGGTAATGCATATTTAATTCTCCACAATCAAGTTGTTTAATAGTTATAATTTATTATTACATATAAAAAGTCAGTATAATCTTAATTCAGTTAAACTGACACATAATAAGTTATTGATATTTATGTAATTTATTACCTTAATTCAATTTGAAGAGAAAATTGAGGAAGTTAATTCAATTATAAAATGAGATCATTATACTGCAAAACCATTTGAATGCAAACCCTTAGCCTTAGTGATTATAACATTTGCATATTCTTGCACTGTGACTTGCGACTTTATAGTGGTGGTAGCTCATTCTTAGCTTGTCTGTCACTGCATTGTTGTCGTTGCCACCATCATCGTGACAAGCTAGAAGGTATCAACACACAGTTAGACAAGGGAAATAATCCCGAGAGCAATATTTTTAGGAGTTATGCCCCTTTTTAATGAAAGTTGGTTATTGATAACCGTTGCCCTTAACAGACAAGTGTTAACACCACATGCCATGCTCTTGTATTTTGATTTTGAAATTCCTTAAACTTTAAATGAACTGTTTTAGTTTCAAGTTACCAGACTAATTTATTTCATTTATTCAGCATAATGGCTAGGCTGATGATGATGGTTTACCTATTTCACCAATATTATAAGAACCAAGTTGCTGTCTTGGTATAAACATACTTGCTGCAATTTTATATCACAATGAAAAAGGTATTTCTGGCAAAGTTATTGCTATAAAAGTATTTATAAACTTTGTAGTCATATTTTCGTATTCTTATGGTCATAATTCTGAAGATAGTAATTGCAAAAATGTGTCACTGTTATTAAAAAACTTATAGATTATTTATTATAATAAAATATTGCATTGTATTTTTATGCAGGAGTTCGAAAGTTTTTGAGGATGCTTCATCATGAGACTAAGTTTTGGCTCTATTAAGTTCTTTGGTATTTTTTCATCAAGATTCTACAAACAAATGGTTTCACCAATTACCGGAGAGATTCAAATTCAAAGAATTATAAAGCCTTACAAGTGCAATTTAATAGGTCTGGCAAGAAAGAACCATTTGTGAAGTAAAGTAAGCCAGGCATCCTAGAGTATTAATGTAATTGCTTTTTTTCCACGGAATTAATATTTACAATATATACAATATAAGCAACCTGAAAAGATTGATATTTGCTGTCATATTCCATAGTATATGTGTTTACCCTTTCTGAAATCACTTTGCTTAATCACATAAATTCTATGTACAGTGATTTTACCTACCTTAATGGATTTCTTTGACATTTAAACCATGACAGCTTTGCAAGAAGAGCCTCAGTAATGACTGAAGTCTACTTGATATTATGGATATAAGGTGACAGATTCTGGCAAGGAAATACAGGCTTAGAATTGCTTCTTTCTTTATGAAATATCTAGCTGATTTTATGAGTGTTACCAAGCAAGAGTTATTTTATAGAGAAGGAATTAAGTCTGGTTACATTATGGCGTGTGTGTTGTTTTTTTACCTTTTTTTTTCTCTCCATCTATACAATTTTTAAAGCAATAATTGATGTATAAATTTCTATGCCCTCATATAATGGTAATTGCAGTCAGCAGAGCAATATAATTATGAGCCCTGCCATGACAAAACCAACATAGTGCGTTTGCGACCAGCATGGATCCAGACCAGCCTGCGCAGTCTGATCAGGATCCATGCTGTTCGCTATCAGTTTCTCTACTTGTAATAGGGTTGGTAAGCAAACAGCATGGATCCTGATCAGACTGCGCAGATGCGCAGGCTGGTCTGGATCCATGCTGGTCGCAAACCCATTATGTTGGTTTTGTTATGGCACAGCTAATATATAAATGTTATTGAAATTTCACTTAATGTTAAAGTTGTGTTTGGTGTTAAATAATTCTCAGAATGTGTTATAAAGTAAACCCTTGTGATGTTAAAGTAACCCTGTGGGGTGAGCTTAAACCCTAAGCCTGCTGGCAGCAACAAATACTACCCATGTGACCAGTACCAACCAAGATCATGGGTGGCACTGTAATTGTTTTAAAATTTTTGCTGAAATATATAAATAGTTTTGTGCAGATCAAAATAATTATGGACAAGTCAATTCAAGATATTTAGCATTGTAAGGCTTAAAGTCATTAGAGGTCACAGTTCCAGTGCTTTGATTATTATTTAAACTGAAACTTAAAGACTGTACGCCATATTTAATAAATGAAAATTGATTTCTAATCCATTTGAGCCGAAACCATTCTTAGGAAAATCTGCAATTTTTGGCACTTGTTCTAATATGAAGTTTTTTCTGTTACAAGAGAAGTTCCGCTTTATGTGTCTTTGAGATGGTACTTTTGCTGACACGTTTATTTCCTTGCAGGTATTCTATAGCGCAGGCATTCTATAGCTTCCATAGCTGCTTTAACTTGTTGAAAGAAGAATGTATTTTTCAGTGGAATAATACTTTGTTGGTACATTGTAAATCAAACAAATGTGTGCGGGATGGTGAAAGTGTAGGTCATTGTCCTCCTGAATTATAGGAATCCTCATCTGGTTTTAATAGCCGGGATCTATCCTGTATCACCTATAATCTTTTGTTTGTAGAACACTAAGAAAAAGGTTTTTTAGTTTACATAGCAAAGCCACCCTCAAAACAGCTGTTATTGCATTTTTAAATTTCTGGGAAGATATTTGTATAGTTTTCATCACAATGTCACCCCTGCTTTAGCTATTAACCTGATGGTTATAGCTGACTGTATGATTGTGACCTCTGCATATAAGCATTGTTTGTCCTGATGGGTTATAGCTAACTGGACAATGTCACCTCTGCATAAGCATTGTTTGTCTTGGTGGTTATAGCTAACAGAACAATGTCACCTTTGCATAAGCATTGTTTGTCTTGGTGGTTATAGCTAACAGGACAATGTCACCTCTGCATAAGCATTGTTATGCCCCCATTTCGAAGAAAAGGGGGTATATATTGCTTTGCACTTGTCGGTCGCGTCGGTCCGTAGACCAAATGGTTTTCCGAGTGATAAACTAAAGAACCCTTAGGCTAGGAACTTCAAACTTGGTATGGTTATTGGTCTGATGACCAGTTAGATGACCCTATTGATTTTGGGGTCAGGGTAAAAGGGGTTGATAAAACAAATTTTGGTAATTCAAGGTTAATCACATGACTAATTGGCTGCTGATAGGGGGCATACATGTTTTACAAACATATCTTGTTTATCTTTGTGGTTATTGCTAACAGGACAATGTCACCTCTGCATAAGCATTGTTTATCTTGGTGGTTACAGCTAACAGGACAATGTCACCTCTGCATAAGCATTGTTTATCTTGGTGGTTATAGCTAAGTGGACAATGTCACCTTTGCATTAGCAGGTATTTATAACTGACAGCTCAATGTCACCTCTGAATTATAGCTATCAAAGTTCTGTTTGAAGGTGATAGCAAACTGTTAATCTAGTAGTCATTATCTGTTTGCTGACAACATAATGTTTTCTTTCATCTGTCCATGTCTAAAAGTAATCTAGATAAAAACATCATGAAAGATTAATCAGCCATTTTGTATTGTGATTTTAAGATTCTTCTGATTTTCTTTTATCTAAGCAAATACAATATCTGAGAAATTTTGATATCCGGGAAATGATTGTTTTATATGTTTACATTAAATTCTAATTGTTTATCTTAAATTTTGAGTCATAGGTTATTTGGTAGTATTTTTTAGTAAACAAAATAGTTTGTGTATGATGATGGATCATTGAACATGTAAAAACGTCAGCCAATCTCAACTGAACATTAAGGAGTTAAGTTAAAAAAAAAAGAATTAATGCATTTTTTAATTGCATTCATTTGCTAGCCTGAGGTAAATTTATTTGCAAAACAAGATAAAAAAAAACAAAACATCATGGAGGTTTATGATGTAAACAGTGTTTTTACACTGCTTGTTTATTGTAGTGAAAATATATAGATAAAATGCATTATAAAATGCATTAAACTCAATACATGTTTTTGATGGATAACAGATGTTGTGTTATATACGTATGTTTAATTAGAAAATAATATTCTCATTTGATCATAATTTGGAAGGAGAATGCATATAAAATTGCTGTTTTTAGAATAATTAATCATGTAGATTAGTTTGTTATAATCATATTCAAGAATCATACAGAAAAAGGTACTGCAAGTTACATGAAAGCTGGTTCCGATTTTGATTAAAGAAGATCATCTTTGACCTTCAAAATGTTAAATGTTGCTCATTGCTTTTTTAAATGAATTGTGTATAATACAAAAGGTAATGTTCTATATTTTCAGATACATTATAAGTTCTCGATAGACATACTACTGTGTCCCGGCTTTTATATTTTTCAGATACAACTGTAATACTGTATCCTGGCTCTGCAAAAAAGGATGTTTTATATTTTCAGATACAAGTCCTCCCATGGATGCCACTGTATCTCGGCTTTTATATTTTTCACATACCACTGTAAGTCCTCAATGGACTCTACTGGATCCAGGCTCTACAAAAAATTGATGTTTTATATTTTCAGATACAAGTACAAGTCCTCCATGGACACCACTGTATCCTGGCTCTCGGCTAGAGCAGGAAGCCATCCAGTACATTCACAAGTTCTATTGTAAGGACTGTCAAATGGATCAGCAGGCAGCTGAAAGAGCAAAAGCAGCAGCAGCATCCGGGGAGGAGAATTCAGCTAGCGGTACAGCTGAAGCATCTGTCCCAGCACATCCTCCCGTACAGGTTCCCGACGTTAAACAGGAACCAGCTTCACCAATGAGTCCTCAGCAGATGACAGACGAAGCATCACTCATGGTTACTCTAGATAAAAACAAGGAATGTAAGTAAAATAAATAATAAAGTAATCTTGATATCCTCATTTATAAACATCCAGATCTCTGCAAATTAGAAATTCAATTTTTTGATTCAGTTATGACTGCATGAAAAGCTACTTTTCTGCTTTACTTGTGGAGGAAGACCTCAGGTGTGAGTTTAGATGGTTAATGAGCAAATAGAGAAACTATATTGTAGATTCAAATTGGTTCAAGCTGCATTGTATTGGTATAATTTCATATATGTGAAATTTATCATAAGTTAGTATCACATCAAGCAAAAAAAAACAACAACAAGATTTCTCTCCAAAGTATGAGAATTCAACCTTGCACACTATTAGAGATATGACATCATTTGATAATGAGTGAAAAGATTGGCCTTATGGTTAAGGTGTTAGCCTTTCAACCATGTGTTTGCTGGTTTGAGTCCTAAAAATGATCACAATAATTTTTCCGTACATGGTACTAGTTATATAGTTCCAGGAAAGAGAAATTGCTTCCAGGAAGCTGGCGTACGAGTGATTCAGATCAAGTTTATTAAGCTTTCATTACAATAGAGCTAAAAGTAAATGCGTATATACTAATGTACAATGTAATTGCAGCCTTGAAGAGGAAGTTGATGATGAGAAGATCTCTCAATGAGTTAGTGGACCAAGGAATATATCCCCGTAAGTATCATAATAGTGTAGCACGTGTTTTAGAAGACTTTGTCACCAGTGGCAAGCATGTATGTCCCTTCAAATGTTTGTATATTTTGATGTTAAATCCCTTATACTTCAAATAGACTGTTACAAAGTCAAAGGATTAAAAAGGAATGAACGAAGGTAAAGATACTCATTAACATTTATGAATTGTGAATCATGAAAGTTTATTTGATGATTTTAAAAAATGTTCTCACTTGTACAAATAATGCATTTTGAGCAATCAATTAAAAGAGCATTGCCATTAGATTTATCTAAATAAACAGTATTCCTAATCTTAAAATAAAGACCTCTCTAGTACAAATTGTTCTATAATAATCAGTACAGGTGATCAGTTTACAATATGATGTTTAAACTCATGGTTTTCATGATAATGTTAAGAATATGATTTAATGGTATATATCAGCCGCTGGTATATAGGTAGCTGGTATATCGGTCACTGGAACCAGATTAATGAGATTAGGGAAAGTGGATTGGGGAAAGTTGATTTGATCATTCTTGATCTTTTTCTTGATCTCGCTTAAACTGGTACATCACATTGTTTAATCTGGTCATTTATTGTTAATCTTAATCAATTTAGATTGTTTATTGTTTCTTGTCATTTTGGGAACTGCTTCTGTAAAGAAGTAGGGCCTGGAATAAGGTACAAACAGTTATTTAGGTAATGTTATGTTTAGGCGCAAAAATGGTAAAAGTGGTCAATTCTTGTGCTGTGTTATTATGAGTCATGTTAGTTGATAGGGTACAAGTTTTAATGCTGTTCAGAAATGTCATAATTATTAAATGTCAAAATAGCTGCAGTTCATAAAAACAAAATCTACCTCGCAGGAAATGAAAATTATGTAAATATAAACATTTTCTGGAATTTTATATTATTATAAACTTTAAGAAGGCAATGTGCTCAAATCTAGAACAGTTAAGTTTTTTTGTGTGGTTGTGGAAAATTTTAGGTTTTAAGTAAACAAGGTAACCTTCAAAGTCTGACAGTTTTCAAAAAACTGTTTTAAAATAAAAGTTACAGAATCATGAAACAATTAACAGTATCATGAAACACTTAAAAGTAAAATTAACAGTGCCATGAATCAATAACCAGTATCATGAAACACTTAAAAGTAAAGTAACAGTGCCATGAAACAATTAACAGTATCATGAAACACTTAAAAGTAAAGTAACTGTGCCATATAACAATAAACAGTATCATGAAACACTTAAAAGTAAAGTAACAGTGCCATGAAACAATTAACAGTACATGAAACAATTAACAGTAAAGAAACAGTGCCATGAAACAATTAACAGTATCATGAAACACTTAAAAGTAAAGTAACTGTGTCATAAAACAATTGAAAATAAAAGCTACAGTATCACAAAACAAGGGAGAATATGTATTACAATTTAAGATCATGAAAAAAAAATTAGAATAAAGTTACTGTACAGTAAAACAATAGAAAGAACATTTACTGTATCATGAAAAAACAATAATATAATTGTAATCTAATCAGACAATTGATAATGAAAGTGAAATGTTTTGGAAACATTTTGAATAGTGTTATTTAAGCTTTTAAGAATAAACTTACATTATTTTGAAACACTGCAGAATTTAGTTACAATATTATGAAAAAAATGAGCATTAATTATAATACTGCTCAAGTACACAGTGACCTCATAAAAAAATTACAAAAATTGTGTCAGATCAGATTTCTAAAAAAAGAAAAAAGAACAAACTCAGAATGGGGAAAAAGTAAAGCAATTAGACAGATCTTGTTCTCTTTTAACCATCCTTAAATTGCCAAACAGAATATGATACTGAAAAATGAAGAAAAATTCTGAAAATTCGGTTAATTGTATATTCTGCAAGTATTATAACATGAAAAATCAATTCAATGGTTAAACAATTTCTTCCTCTTATGAAACACAGGTTTTACTTTACTCATGAAGAGACAAAAATTAATACTTTTTTATCATTTCCAGAGACGGTTATTTATCAAAGTGCCACTGTTGAGGATCAGAGTGTTTATATTAATATATAATAATACCAATAATAATTAACACAGACATTGATATTTATTTACTTTTAATGCAGCTGCCTCAAGTATGGGCAATCAATTTTTCCATATCTCGATTTTGATTGCGTTTCAATGTCTTAAAAAAGTCAAAATCAACCCTATTTCTGTTGAATTCTGCTGTGAACTTTATAACTCGCCAGTGAAAAAGTGGCAGCATGGCTGAATGGTGAACACATCAGACTAGTAATCTAAGGATTGCTGGTCACACGGCTTCAAAGCCCATGAGGGGCAAGCCGTTGTTTCCTTGAGCAAGAAACTACACTTATTGCTCATTATTAAGTACTGGTTAGTTTCAGGAAGGGATTCGAGAGTGTTTCAATAAGCTTATAGCTTCCAACACAGTCAAACTTAAATAAATTTGTATAAACTTAACTAATGAATAAGTTTAGTTTGACTGCACTTGCACAATAAATCAAAGGCAAGTTATTACAATATTGGAATATATTTGGAGTGAAGTGCCCAATTAAAAAAAATAATCGAGGAAAATTTTCCTGGCTTAATTCTCCTCCAAATATACACTGTAGAGAACACTGTTGAATAACGTTATGAAAATGTGCATTGTAGATGAAGCAAAAGCAGTAATGATAATGTAGGCAATCTGTTGTTAATCATAATGCTGTATTTAGCTTTTATTTTCAGTCTAGAAGTAATATCATAATTGACTGAATTATTTTCATTTCTTTCCTGTACTTTAGTAAAAGATAAGTATATCAAAAATAGAGATGATAGGTTTCTTGGAAGTGCAGGCTGGTTTTAAAGAGAAAAGACCATTATTGTCGCATGTCTAGAAAAAATGTCAACAATTGCCTACTTAATATGTAGGACATATTTATTTATGTTTTTATACAATAGTATATACATGAAAATAAAGGAGGAAAAAAAACTGGTTTTAAGAGATTGACTTTTTAAAATGTTTTCTGCTGTTTAGAAAACACAATTTAAATTGTGAATTAAACACTGGCCATTTTAAACAGTAGGCATTTTTCAACAATTTAAGTCTTGATTTTTGTTGTAATTTTCTTAAGGTAAAAGTTAAGTGATCTTCTGCTATATAACATTGACAATTGACTAGAACACATATTGAATGTTTTCGGTATTATTGTTAATATTGCACTGTTTAATGTAATTTCAACACTGTTCAAACTTTACTTTAATTTGCCATTTTAGCGGCCATTAGATATTTAAAAAATAAGTAGGATAAAAGCCAATGACTTACCTCTTCTTATGACCTAAAAGATCAAGAATTGAACCAAGCTAATCTGTAGCATTCTTAGAATTGTTTATTTAAGGGACAAATGTTGCTAAAAATAGAACCTTTTGCTAAAAATAAAACCTTGTAACATTTTGCAATGAACAGATAAGTGGATTTTTCATCAAATTTGGTATTAACCTCAAGTATAATTACACAAATTTGTCTACAGGGATTTTAAGAGCTGAAATAAGGAAACCTTTAAATTAACATCTCATGAACCAGTGCAGGGATCGTGGCCAAAGGTGGATAAGAAACTATTTAAAAATTATGCGCTAGAATTAAAGTTATCAAGAAACATAGATGTAGGGTTTGTGTCTGACAGTGAGCACAGTCAATGACCACTTAGATGTAAATTTTCTAGGAATAGTATGTTGATTGCAGAAGAGCTCAGTGGGGAGGCTTGGATAAAATGTCAGATAATTCAGAATTTGTTTTGATGCCGTAATTCCATGGATATTATTTCAGAAGAAACTGTAAGACCTCTAGCAACAGAAAAAAACAACACTATTTTATAATTATTGGCTGGAAACCCTCGCTGTGTAACATATGTGAGGGCTATAACATTTCATGAAAAGTAGTATATCATAATAATTCCCTAAGTAAATCTAGATGCATATGTATTACATCTAAGAAAATAATATGTTATAATTTGAGAAGTTGATTGAAATATTTTTGGCTGTTATGTGGATTGGTTTCGTACAGTTATATGATGAATTATTGGTAGCATTTATTTGAGTTAATTTAGAGATATTTGGGTTTATTGCACAATCATAGAATGAAAGTCCGGAAGGGGGGTGGGGGGGGGTCATGCTAAAATCAATACATGGAAACATTAAGTGATTTGATTATTATAATTGTCTTCCAGCCAACCAGTCTTTGCACAATTTTAAATTCATTTCTAGTTATAATGTTCAGATAATAATATTTTGTAATGGTAAAAGGAAACCTGACTTAAGGTATTAGCATCCTAATGCATTACCTCCGCGTTGAAGAGTATTCAAATAGGCTAGAACTACTGTTAACTACATTGAAAATGAGGGCCATGGGTTCAATCCTCAGAAGGGTCAACTTTTTTTTTCTTTCTTTTTTTCTTTTAACATTATTTATGTATCTCTCATGTCCCATTTGGAAAGAAAAAAGTGTTTAATTTTGATTTTTTAATTTATATAGGTATTTATTGGCTAAATTATGCTAAATCTAGTAATAAATATGGTACCTGATATTTTCAAAGTGTAATATATTCAAAACTAGACGGTAAATGTATTTCATATTTTACAAGATCAACCAATATACTTTTTTATAAATTTAGGGAAACTTTGAAAACAGGCACTCATTTGGGTAAATTTTTAAGAATTTTTTTAATTAGGCTCCCTAAGTAGAAAAATGGTCAGACACGTGGTAAAAATGGGTGGGGTAGGGTAACATTTTTATACAGATTTCATAAATTTTAAGTAGAAACCATAATTTTGCTTATGTGGATTGTTAGCTGAATGGTACTATTTGTTTCTTACCAAAAATTAATGGGAAAACATTTTTCATTAGAAAGTTATTGCAGATTATTTAAAGGTTCATCATTTCTAAAAAAGGGCCCTCATAACATCCTAGCTCGAGTTCAGAAAAGTGGCCATAACTTGATTTCCGTACGGTAAACATTGTTTAAATTTTGCATACAGGTGTACTTTAAGGTATACATCTGACCTATGATGTCAATTTTTTAGTTCCTTATAGTGCCCATTAGGGTCCTAATACCTTAAGTTAGATAATTAAAAAATAAAACAAAACAAAAAATACCTTACATAACTGTAATAAAATAACTTTTTATGACAGACAAAAGCATGATAGTTAACATTAATATTGATTCACAAAGATGAATGGTTATGTTAGTAGGATTC